ACACGTTTTGATGAGTTGAGGAACCAATGGTAATGGATTTTTAGTTGAGGGATCATTGCTCCAATTGAGTTAAAGTTAAAGGACCATAGTTACAATTTACTCTATAAAATAAACTAGACAAAATATGCATCTCACGACTCTACTTGCGGCCCACATACCATTACCACGGGCTTGTATTGAGTTGGGCCATGCGTCAAGGGCTTGGACCATGAATGGTCCACATCATACATGTTTTTGTTATATTGGACTCATCGGCCTTCAGGATATACATTCATCTTCACAAGCAAACGCAACATAAACTAATGTGTTCTGTTTTTTATTTCCAATGAGCAATTGTTATGCATGACATTTGAATTCGGGATTTCCTCTAGCAAAGTAGAGATTAGGTTTTACTTGACTAAATGGTCTGGATAAGTTTAGGACTTGTTTGATAATGATTTTGAAATGGCTAACAGCAATTCTACTTAATCAAAAACGCTTCTTACAAGATTCTGCAAAAATATGAAGATGCTGTAGATTCTAAAAGCAATTTTTAGTGCTCTTGGGAAAAATATTTGAAGGAGGTATAATTACAAATACTTTTTTGAAAGCACTTATGTGCTTTATATAAATAAAAGCAATTCTAACAAAAACGCTAATGAGCATGAGCTTTTCTACATGAACACTCAAGAAAGGATAAACTAGTGAATGGATAAAATGGTGAATACGAGAGCATTGAACGTCAAGCACAATTAGATATCGAAAAAAATGTCCAACGCAGAAGACAAGGCGGAGGAAGCGGCCACACGGCCCTTTGGCTGCTCGTGTCTCGACATACCTGCATGTGTTTCTTTGTGTAGCATAAATATCACTAAAAACAATAACATATTTTAGTTATTATATTTGTTCTCTAAACTTGCACGCATTAGTAGCATAAAAACTTGCAATTTGAGTCTCTATGGATTTAAATCATATTTTAATAAGCAAAGATTGAGTGTCACTAAACCAAATTGATATCGAGATTTTTAAACAAATTAGACATTAAGTTGATTTTGTTCCTAGTGTGGCATGTATACATACATAAAACATTGAAATGATGAGAGAAAATATCTTACATACATGTATAACTGTATTTTTCACATAAAATCAAATTACCCATTCCAAGTAGAGGAAACGGTTGATTTGTACTTGTAAGTGGTAGATCGTTGTAGTTGATATGATCTTTTTCTTTAATTCACAGCATTATGTGTTAAAACCTTTCCTCTACTGTAATTTAGAGTTAGAATATTATTTTTCATTTATAATCAGAACATCTAGTTTGTATTTTAAAAACAAAATTTTGTGCGAATATGATCGGGTTGTTACGTAAGTTTTACTCCAAATAAGAAGCTACTTGGATTAAAAAGATTATTAATAAACAAATGTGAATAGTTGGGCTTCATCCCACCAATCAATTGGAGGAAGGCTGTTCACCAACACTCATCAACTATTGGATTGGAATTGGATGATTGGTTTGGTTGACTCTCTTCAATCGTCGGCTGCATTTGTTTCTCTTTCTCTCCAGATTTTTCAATGTACTCGAAATACAAATGAAAAATACTAAAAATAAACTTCTTCTGCACTTACATAACACATAATGTATCTGTGTATTTCGAATACATAGAAAAATATCTCTCTCTGATCTGCTGCTGCATAGACCAATCAATCTCTGGTACAAATATTGGTCCCTCCTCCATGATCCATCACCACTTGCTAAAATGGTCACAACCTCAAGCAGGCTCTCTGTTTGATTTGTGCTGCTGCATAGAAAAGTATCTCTCTCTGATCTGCTGCTGCATAGACCAATCAATCTCTGGTACAAATATTGGTCCCTCCTCCATGATCCATCACCACTTGCTAAAATGGTCACAACCTCAAGCAGGCTCTCTGTTTGATTTGTGCTAGAGTAAAAGGCTTTTGTCAATGAGTTTCAGTTTTTCACCACAAATTGAACATTAATTTCACAATTGGTCCACTTTTCCCTGATCTTTTCGGGACCAGTTGGTACGTTGCCCTGCATTCACTTTTATAACACTCAGTAAGTAATTGTACAGAGGTTTTTAATGGGTGTTTTGATATAGACCTCTCATTTTTAGGCTTCTTAGATTAAACATCTGTTCAATTTAACAATTTGATTACACATTCTCCTACAATTTTGGTGCCATGTGTATTTTAATTAACCCATTGTTATGTACCTAAATAACATATGTTGCCATAGCCTTTAACATATCTCTTTGCCGTATCCAGTTTCTTCACCCCAAAATGCACCCAAGTTTCCTTGCTAACTAATGTCTCAGAGTTTTAATCCGAGAAGAATACTTGTTGAATATGAGAAGGATTTGAATTTAAGGATATTAATAATGTTATTTTTCTAGTGAATTTATTTTCCAGCAGCACTTCCTTCCTATGAATGTACCATAAGTTTCAGAAGCCTTCTTTCCGTACCAAGGTCGACGTTGGTATTCAGGTTCCAGTTATTGATTTTTATTCGATTATCAGTTGGGTGCGTTGATTTTGATTGTCTTTCGAAGTTGAAGGTTTTGATTAAACGAAAAAATAAATAAAAGATGAAAACTTGATTAATCTAGGTATAGCTGAAGATGTTATCGAGTTAAAAAAAATGATTCACACATTGGGTCAATGCATGTTGTGTATTAGCCAAATTGTTAATTAGGGTTTTAGTATTAATCGAATTAAGAATCCCATATGGAGCTTCAGTTGGATCTCAGATCCATCCAACTTGTTAGGAGTTACACCGCAAGGTACGTAGCTAGTATAAGAAGTTGAGGGTCCTGAGCAAGGCTATGATTGGTACATTCATTAGCGTACTGCTACATCTCTTCTTGTAGTATGCTTGAACATGAATATTATATGTTGTTTGGTTTTGATAGTCTTTTGAATTCTAATATTTTGATCGCAATTTTTAACTGGTAAACATGTTCGTAGTTTGACACCTAGCTTTTGGTACGTTTGCAGCCTAGAATATATATATATATATATATATATATATATATATATATATATATATATATATATATATATATATATATATTGGTACAAATTATTTGACTAAAAATGTTTCAGGTACATTATGGCGCTACCAACGGCTAAGAATAGTAAACATCATGGAGAGCATGGCTTCGGGCATACCCATTTTTGAACATTTTGAAGACGATGACATGAAGGAAATAAGAACTACAATAGTAAGCAGTTTTTTAAATGATGAATTTAATTGGAGCCAACAGTATGCAAAATTCTACTATATTAGTACTAGTCGAATAAGCTTCATTGTAGTGATTGCTATCTTTTCAATTGCGTTTCGAGAATGCACTTTCCTGGACCTTCATTAGGATAATATTTTGTATTTATTTTGGTTTAGCAGAAACGTACTTGCAAGTAATTTTCATTGCTCTGTTGAGAATATAAGTTGACTTTGTGCCATATTATTTATGTTTGTGCGTTGGCTCAAATGTACCAGTTAACATTTTTAATTTGGTAAATTATTGGATTGCAACTTTGTAATGTACCAAGAGTTTGGTATGTCATTTAATGTTATGTTGGCTCATATTGATTGTTTGGTACGTAAAGTTTTTATTTTTGAAACGTATCCCTCTGGAAAAACGTTATACAATGTGTGTTTGTAATGTACCAGGAGTTTGGTATGTTACTTAATGTTACATTGACTCATATTGATTGTTTGGTTCACGAAATAATATTAAATTAGATCATTCACGGCATTTGGTACGTAAAGTTTTTTATTTTTGAAATGTTTTTGTCTGGAAAAACGTTATATAGTTTGTTTGTAATGTAATAGGAGTTTGGTACGTTACTTAATGTTACACTGACTCATAATGATCGTTTGGTTCATGATATAATATTAAATTAGATCATTCCAGGCGTTTGGTACGTAAAGTTTTTTTATTTTTGAAACATATTTTTCTGGAACAACGTTATACAGTGTGTTTGTAATGTACCAAGAGTTTGGTATGTTACTTAATGTTACACTGACTCGTAATAATCATTTCGTTCATGATATAATATTAAATTAGATCATTCAAGGCGTTTGGTACGTAAAGTTTTTGTATTTTTGAAACATAAGGGTTTGGCCAAGTGTTGGTGTGTTAATCCAAATGTATCAATTATTTGGTTTTTCCTTTGTAATTAGTTCGACTATTAATGATTAATTGGTATTAAACTTGTTGATGCACAAAACCGGAGGTCTTGGAACAACTTAAATCCGACCGTGAATCTGCAAGTAATGTAAATAACGCAAGATGTATCGTGGTTCATCCCAAGGTTTGGGTTACGTCCACACTGATTATGTATTTATCTGAGAGGTGAGGAAGAGAACCTCTGAATATGAAAGGGGATGTGAGAGGGGTGAGAAGGCTTCAGAAATGGTCTCCCCTAATTGTGAGGGTGAGGAGTCCTTTTATAGAATAAGGGCTCCTCACTTATTACATATTTGCCCCTTCCTTTATTACATAATTACATTTAAGTCCCTCGAGTATTTGTACGAGATCTAAATACGGAGGCCCTAAATATGGTATAAACAAAACTATCAACTAATAGGTACGTTAATTAGCGTTATAGCTGCAACTATCAACTAATAGTTGATTGGTATTAAACTATCAACTGATAGGTACGTTAATTAGCGTTATATTGACACATTAATGCGATAAGTTTGAACTATTGTAAATTACCGTGTAAATTACCATGCACTATTTATACTATTTGATTATCAAATGGTTCTTTGATAGGTGGGTTTTTGAGATATCGAGAATATTTTGAAAATGAGCTATGTCTTTCAAAAGTATACAAAAACTTAGCATATACAACATTGAGCATGAAATAGAAGCGTTTATAATGGTAAGATAAAAAAAAAACATAATGATTTATTACCAAAAACATAATACTGAGCAAAATCAAAAGGGTGCTGAGTAAATTTAAAAAAAAAAAAAAAAGATAGATATGACTAATAATCAAAAGGGTGCTGAGCAAGTGTTCTTATTGTGGTGTCCAAGATTCTTGCACCTCCCACACTTCATTGGTCTTGATTCTACCCCATTAGACTTAATCCTCTTAACCCTTGGTCTGCCGGGTTGTTTTCTTGTCACCGGAAGCTTGACGATAAAATCCTTCACTATATCAAGTAGAGGTTGATGGATGTCAGGAATCAGTTCAATTAGAAAAGAATATGAAGACTTATAGTAATCAGCTGTGAAATAGTCTTCAATGTAGTCATAAGGATTGCTACCGTTGTGGATGATGGTTGTAACTGCGTGTGAGCAAGGGAAGCCTTTAATCTGCCACTGACAACATGAACAATACCATTTTTCCAAGTCCACCATCACCGAGTCATCAATACGTACTTCAAATACAAACTCGCTTGACTGGCTAATGTGCCAATGTCTTCCCACCTCCAATAACTTATCCAACTTGTTCTCCATTTCGGGGCATAAATAAAAGTTCCATTTCTCTGCAGCAATACATCTCTCAGCATTCATCACCATCAATTTAACTCTTATGCTTTCTACCAATTGGAATATTGGTAATAATCATTATTTCCTAATCCAAGAATTGAATGACTCGGCAACATTTGACCACATTTCACCGTACCTGCCAAAAAAATTGTCAATCAAAACATTGCATAATCCTAACACTACATTTTTCCATAACCAAGTTTTCATACCAACTGAAAACTCTTAAAACATATTTTGTTCAATGAAAGCATAATAAGAGAAGGAATAAAATGAGGAAAAAAATAGTGGTAGGACAACAAGTCTTAAACCAAATCATGTACATAAGCACCTCTTCATTAAAACTCAACATAACAATTGTACCTGGCACCTAAAAAGAATGCATCTAAATATTTATCTGAAACCCACAACAAAATAACCAATTCTAATCCATTTTCAAACCCAGATTAAAATCGACAAAACTACAAAAAGCATTAACTTTATGATAATTATCTAAAACCCCATTAAGCACATTTATGTCTAAACAACAATATATCACAATCACTATAAATGAGGTATAAGTATTTATCACAACGTACCACAGATAGCAAGGTAGACGTTGTAGAGAATCTCAATAAAATCTTCTGAACGTACCAGCCTCAAGCCTTCAAAAATAGGGAATACGTCTAATTATCTCACATGATATCAATATAAAATAGTGAAAACAACCACTAATTGAAATGGATAAGTCCATTCAAAATTAAAATTGAGGATCATAGAATTCAAATGTGGGAGAAGAACCATACAGCTCATACGTGGAGAAAAAGCCATATGACTTCCTACAAAATAAGCCACGTACAAAAATATATCAACCTAAAAGGATATAAATGGAATTTAATAATTAACATTGTAAATTAAAAAAAAAACACAATAATGACATGTAATCTAAATAAATAAAAAATTGCTGACATGGCTATCGTTTAGTCGTCCTAATAAAATTTCAAAATAGAACCAATGTTTGATCTAAAGACAATTAGAAAAGTGCAGGGGATTCTAATTTCCCCCTTACTTTTTAGTCCTAGGATGAGCATGATATCTTTCTGTTGAACCTAAAAACTACCAAGCCTATGTGGCACGCAGACTGAGTAACTAATGAGCTAACTACGTTATTCAGTTATGTGCAAGGCGTGCCAACTCGATGGTCGAGTTCGGCCGGGGAGTAAAATATGATGATGTCGCTTTGAGCGCGCTGCTGACTTTTTAATCTTACGACTGTGACCAAGGAAGGAACACGTCCTAGCCTTTGGACTCTAGAGCCTGAAGATATATCTGTGAAGTTCACAAATAGTTAACACCGAGTTCGGTCACAGTTATTATATTCGTGAAAGTATAAGCATGCCAAACTGGTACCAAACTATATGGACACAAGTACTCAAAAGAAATGTATGTCTTGATTGTAAACGTAGTTTAGCCATCAGAATGCCGAACTCTAAGACTTACTTGCAAATATCCAATCATAAACAAAACTCGGCTTTCAATGTGCCGAGCCTAGGAAACCTGTAACACCTCACTTCGCCAAGAAAGCTAATGAGATAACCTCTACCAATAAGGACTCGGAAATCCTCGGTGGCCGAGACTTGGATAAATAACCAGTCAGTCTCGAAGCAGTGCTGCTTATCCAAACTGAATGTGCTTTTTGATCAGTTGATTCTACAACTCCAGTACTGTTTATCCAAACTGAAGATGTCGCCGGTTGCCTTCACAATACTTTTTATCTAAACTGAAGATGTGTTGGCGAGAAGCAAGGGGGAAAGGATAAAATCTCAAAGGTTGTTGAGAAACTTTGCGCAGAGCAATTTGTGTGTTGAATTAAAGGGGCTTTGAATGATGCACTTCCTTCTTTATTTATAGCAGCAAAACCCCCTCATAACCGAACTATAAATGTACTCAGATTAGAACTCCTCAACCCAATCTTAGTCGGTTTCGGCCAGTCCTAACTCTAATAGGATTTTTGAACCAAGCTCCATAACAAACCAGATTCATCTCCTTATCCCAAGCACCTTCGGCTTCAAAACTCCTTGTTTCACTAGGAATTGACTACTTCACCCTCTATCTAAACTAATCCTCTTCGCAACAGGATTCAGCCGACCCTAACTGAACAGCCCACTAGAAAATTCTAGATAAATGCCATTGGGTTGAGAATAATCCCAGGCTCGGCCCAAAATAATATTTTGGGCCCAAACACTTTTATAAAGTAAAAATAATAATACTCACATTTATTTATGAGAAGTGCATATATCTCACTTTTTGCCAATAACGTATGTTCACTGTATAAATAATCTTGACTTTGGAACAACATAAAGTGTCAAGGTTGTAGCCTTCGCAAGGTTGCTTTGGTCACCTAGTGAGAGTAATATGTAAAGAGATAGAGATAGGGAAGCAAACACAAGATGTAAGTGGTTCACCCTAAGTTGGGCTACTTCCACGAGGGTAAAGGTGTTCTACATTTACATGATACAAAGGTTTAAGCATAATCATCCTTATTGAATTCTAATAATGGATTAAGTAGAATAATAGCAATCGAGATTAATTGTGGGAGAATGAACTCCTTTTATAGTTGAGGCGAGTCCCTTATTTTCGCTCACGGACGATGTGGGACTCTAGGAGTTTTATTCTGGTGTCAACATGTGTCATGTTGTGATTGGTCTTTTGATTGGAAATGAACTCATGTGCTTTGGCAGGGGTGCTTCAGTACGAACCATTCAGTATGTCTTTGTAGGTATTTAGTTGACCAATGCTCAATAGTTTTAGGATTGGTAAAGTATGGTACGACCAAATTTCATAAATCGAACCATTCAATTTCGTAATTTTTATTTAAAGATCATTCCTACAAAAATAATTTGAATCGAAGATTGCTTAAGCATGCAAATGTATAGAATAAATGGACGGTTCATCATGTATATATTACTTAGTAATCACATCATCGGTTTGCTCCATGGGTAATCATATTGTCGATTTGTTACATGTGGTAATCATATCATCGATTTGTTACATACATTTGAATGCATAAATAATCTCCAATTCAAACGACTTTTTTGTAGGAATGATCTTTAAACGAATGTTAATAAATTGAAGGAATCGAATTATGGAATTTATATAATGAATATACATTATTCACAAAGAGTGTGATATATTCATTCTCTCCTATACGAATAAAAGTACTATGCAGAATAAATTATGAGCATTCTAAAAAACATCACTATTTTGGCTAATTGAAGTAAAGGCTATCTATGTTAAAAAAAAAAAAAAGTAAAGGCTATCTTTGTGCCAAATAAAGAAATATAAATAAACATTACCAAGGTGTGCAAGTGCAAAAATTAATTTTTACATACTCTTTTTATCTCTCTCTTCGTAAACATCTTTCTTAATTCTCTCTCTTATTTTTTTGGGGATTTATTCAATTCAGCGGTCATATATAAACGTAACGTTGACATGAAATAACTCAACAATAATATTTCAGTCTAAAAACACAATGTTATAGATAATTTTATTCTTGTATTATGCGATCGAAACATCACTGTGGCGGTATAAAGATCTATGTAAGTCCTCTTGTATTATTAGGTGAGATGTTTACATCTCTTTGGGTTTGAGTTGGGTTGGGTCATGACTCATGAGTGTGAGTCCGACATTCTTACTACGACACAGAAGCCGCAGGCCCACGACACGACTCCTTAACGAAGTGTCGGATGTTGTATTGGCCTTCTTCATCTGCTCCCGTCCTAAGCCACACGTGTCGCCAGATCCAGTCTTCAAGCCAAACTATTCAACTCCGTCCGATTCAGAGCTCAAACTAACGACAGAGATTCGTGGACTATTGCCTGGGAGTGGGCCCCTACAAATACCAGAGTCCATTAAAAATTCTGCAGACGTGGTAGTGCCACGTCATCAGAAAGCCCAAAACTCGTACGACCTCTCTCTCTCTCCCCTCATCCTCATGGGTTGTCTCTAGCAGTCCATCTCTTCTCACTCTTGTGAAATAGGGAGGGGTCCAACGGTAAATGGGCACCCACAGCGCCTGTTAGCAAAGGCTTGTAAAGGACAACAATACCCCCCACAAATTAATTATGTTTTTAATTTCTTGTTTGAAGTTGAACAACGACAGTGTAACCGGCAATAGCGTCAGTTGGATTGTCGTTTTTAGGGGCCAAGGACAAAGACAAAGCAGTCGCTTTTGAGCTAAATATGTAGGTGCTTTTAAAATTAGTTTAAAATATTTTTAATGAAAATATTTTTAAAACCAAATCTCAGTAAAAAAAAAATAAATTTAAAAAAATACTTAAAATGCTTTTTAAAAGAAGCAGCTGATGCTTTTCGTAAAAACTTAAAAAGTATTTTCTAAGTGTTTTTAAACTCAAAGATATTTTTTCTGAATCAATTACTATTTGGTCGTTGGAGGGAAAAAAGATCAAAATTGGTTATCGAAAGGAGGACAACGGTCTGCTTTTTCCAGCTCGTTTGATATAAATGGCTCATGTCCTTATCATCCTTGCCCTTCTTTACATGGTGGAAAACCCTGCCAAGAATTACTAACGGAATACCGCTTTTATGGGGTCACGTACGTGATTGGCAATTAAAAGTGTCAGGCACGTAACTAATAATTGTAGATGGTGTTTTTGTTGAAGTGTTAAAAAACAAGAGTAGTGATATTCCCACCCCGGTGTCTTATTTTCCTACTTATTTTTTTATAAATTTTTTAATTACAAATTTATCCATTTGTAAAATGACTAATAGGGACCTTATTTACTCCTTTTTGTATTACTTTTTTTTATAAAGAAAAGAAAAGTTTAGAAAATTTGTCTTCGATAAACCCTAACTCATCCTTTTCATCCCCTTTCATTCAGAGAAAGCAAAATCATTCAGAGAAAGCAAAAAGAATGAATTTCGAAGATGACATTTCTATGGAACAAGTAGATGACTATGTTTCCGTCGAA